ATCAATCGTGCCAAGATCCTATTTTTCTTCTAATTTTCTGGGTTAGTGTAGTAAGCCGGTTTTTATTATGAAGGTTGCCCACGCCTTTCTCTTAATTGGAGATGACTCGCGCGCGAATTTTACAAGAAAAAAATGTCATGTGGTCGAAAACCTTCGTATGAGTGCGCTTGACCAAATAAAGCAAAACTCTCTCCTCGTCCGCCCAGTCCAGTGGGGTGCAGCCGGAGGGCGACAGGTAAATGTGTTCAAGGTCGTCCACTTTTTACCTACGCCGACGAGACCCGCAAACTATCGGACGCTAATATTGCACTTTTCGGAGAAGAATTTACCGTGGCATGGCAAAGCCTACCGGAGTTGCACTTCTTCGAATTTCTCATCTTTCAGATTGTGGCGAATGTGCAATGGATCTATTTTTAGAAACGCAAATTGTAAGCACTGTGACGCGACGTTTAAAAATATCAATGAACGATGTCGGATCTCCTAAAAAGTTAAAAGAAAAGAATGACGTCTCTCATCATTGACTTCGGTTAAAAAAAGGTGGTGCTAAATTTTCTGTCATTCAGTGTGGTGCTGCCAATTTATTTTAATGCGGACAACCCCTACGACGGAAAAACAAACAATTGTCTCACAGTAGATTATTTTCAGCTGTTTTTCCAAACATGGCAGGGGGTTGAACCCCCATGATCACGTTCATTTCTTTTACCGTAGCCAATTGGACCAATTTTACCACTGAAAGGCTCAAAATAATAAAACATTGAACAGTTGTGGAGTTTTCACTTTCTCTCGGTCATTTTGACATTTCTCCAGAAACCATTTAGCACGTTAGCGTATTTAGCCTGTTGGTGTTGGTGTCGCCTATTCGCGGCGCTAACTATCGTTCTTTGCTAAGGTACCTTTACACTATCATACTTCTCATGTGATTTGTCGTATGATAAGTAACAAGCATTTAGATTTGTGTTTACACTATACAATTTTTGGTATTATGGCTGTCATAAGACAAATCATAAGGAAATAATATGGAAATAATACGTAAATCGTGGAATAGGGATGTTTCTATTTCTGCATGACAAATGACATGACTTATTTTAAATATTCAAGTGATCCCGCCCTTTTATGGTTACTTTTCGCACTTTGCTGTTGTACTTATCTGAAAAAGCTGAATACTTGAGTAAACCAGTAAACTTTTGATTATATCATTGATTATAATAAGTGTGTATAATCAATGATTATAGGTATATTAGTTACTAATGAAAGAATACATTACATAAACAATAAATCGAGCAATAAATATTTACGAGTATATTGGTATTTGGTTGTCTGGTTGTAGTGGTGTCTTCAGACACACATTGTCAAATAGTGTCTTGATTGGTAATTAACCCTTCAAATGTTTGGGGTAATCTTTCAAATAAGGGTACACTCATCCTTAATGTCGACCAAGGGGACGACTCTGTTTGCTTTGTTAATGAAACGCATAACGAAGAAATTATTTTTAAAATAATTGTTAAACTTTTTTCGTTAAAAATGTACTATGATTTTTGAGGCACTTTAGAAGTTCACCTATTTGTGCTTTACAGGTGATTTTTTTGAGTTCTAAGTTAGCCTGAAGGTACTTTTTTGTTGAATACTTATTGTGATAATTAGCGATTTATTTTAATACAGAAGTTAACCGCACAAAATTGCTTATTTGCCAATTTATTTAAAATTTTGCGGGATCCCGCAAATACCGGGTTCCCGCGGGATTAACATCTAACGATCCCGCAAATACCGGGATTGAGATTTTGCTGCGGGATTGCATTCCCTAGCTGTAACTTTTGAACTAGTAGCCCAATCTTGGAACTGTTTGAAATTATGGATTCTACAGGCCACGTTCTATAAGAAAAATTTTTTTCCGGGTCGATCTGAGACAATTTTTTTTTCGGGGCAAAAAAAGCAGTGTATAACCTTCCTTTTTTCCAAAAATCGACTGCACCAAAATTTCTCGGGAAAACACTTTTTCTTATTAATTTTGGTGCGTAGAATCCAAAACAATTCGTACTTTTTTGATCAGACTTCTCAATCAAAAGTTATAGACTAGAAACCAATTTCGAAAGAAAATTCAAAGGGCTGTAACTTTTGAACTAGTAGCCCAATCTTGGAACTTGGAACATTAGAGAAGTTATATAGGTTTCGTAGTATTAAAGTCATATGAAAAACCTGTCAAGTGTAAAGTAAAACATTAAAACTCTTACGAAAAATATGTTAGTAGTAAATATCATACAGGGTGACAATTTGAAAACTTACCACCCCCCATATCTTAGTAAATAAACGAGATATTTAAAAAAATCAAAATCCGTTTCGGTAATTCGGAGGGGGAATCACAATGACATAGTTGGCGACGCACCCCCTCCACCCCCTGCGCCCCAGCCACCCCAACTTTTAAATCTTAAATAGTGACCCCCCATGTGTGATACGTCGTTGGAAAGCTCTGAAAAAATGCTTTCCAACCATACCAAATAGCATTACATTTAGGTTAGTAATTATCGTGCAAATCAAAAAATAAACATGGAAAATCGTATTTAACTTGAACTTCCAAAGCCGACTCGATAGCAACTCATTTTCGATCGCCAGTTATAATCTATCCTCAAACTCTTGTCGAACCTTTCCTATGTTGGTTTTGCAATATTTCGACATTCTTGAATTATTCTCTGTCTTAGTTCGTCTAATGTTCGCCGGTTGCGTTTTAAATACGACAGATTTCAAATGTATCATATTAGTTTATTTTTTGATTTGCACGATAATTACTAACCTAAATGTAATGCTATTTGGTATGGTTGGAAAGCATTTTTTCAGAGCTTTCCAACGACGTATCACACATGGGGGGTCACTATTTAAGATTTAAAAGTTGGGGTGGCTGGGGCGCAGGGGGTTGGAGGGGGTGCGTCGCCAACTATGTCATTGTGATTCCCCCTCCGAATTACCGAAACGGATTTTGATTTTTTTAAATATCTCGTTTATTTACTAAGATATGGGGGGTGGTAAGTTTTCAAATTGTCACCCTGTATAACATATCATATAAAAAATCATGTGAGATGTATTATAGTGTAAAGGTACCTTTAGGTAGGCACGTTGTTCAGTTGCCTATAATCTACGTAAAACCTCCGCCAACTTTCTTTGCTATAGTACCTACCACAGATGGGGTCCAAGGGCTGCTGCGTATGGTTCAATTATTACTGGAGTAGCCATGTCGCTGATGATCTATCTTATGATTATGATCTCATGACCATATTGGTTTGGCCGACCAGTCCTTTCTCTGAAGCAAACACGTCTACTTGGTAGCGGATTGTGATTATACCTTGAAACGGTGGGCGGTAAATTCGCCCCCAAGTAAATTCGCTCCCGGAATATCCGCCCCAACAAATTCTCCTCCGAAAAATTCGCCCTCGTAGGATTCGCCCCATAACATTTATTAAGCCTTGGAAGTAATAGGTTAGTTTGGTAACATATTAAACAAATAACAATTAAACAATTAGTTATTTGTACAACTAGTTTTGAAAGTGTTACTTTTTTCATGAATTTGCAGTTTGATTGATCAAGCAAATTCATGGAAAAAAGACACTTTCAACACGTGTTGTACACGAAATTTTTTTGCATAGTGATCCATGATAACCCACAATTGAATAATTTTTTTCCTACGACTTTAATTGAAAATTGACAATTTCGCTCACTTATGGCAAAATGTAACGGAAAACAAAACGCACTCGTGTGATTTGCTTTATCATAAGATCTACCATATATTAGAAAGCAAATCGCATGTTACGTTTTGCTTTCGTAGTAGTCTAATCTTCTTGTAACATCCACGTAGTATGCGTACGTCAAACTCTAAAATTGCGATTAGTTTATTCTTGAGTTTATTCTTTACTTAATTTTAATGGCGGAAAGTGATTCTTCCATGGATGTAGAGTGTACTCCATCCAACATCAGGGAAGAGGCAAAATCCACTACACTCGAATTACTACCAACTAAATTGCGGCTCAGGTAGGTATGAAGGTAGCGTACGTCTAATAATATTAGTAAATTTCTTGCAGAAGCTCCAAACGACAAGTACTTTTTTGCTAAAGTAATTATAACAATAGTTCGTTAAAGAGAAATTGAATCTATTTCGTATTTTTAGATAGTTTTAGTAGTTGGTTCGAAATAAAATAACTTTTGTTTCATTATGTGAGTAGATTTTTGGTTGTATGGAGAGTCGTAGGAAAAATAGTGTACATGACTCGTTTGAAAGCCACTTTTCACACTCGTGTGAAAAGTATCGCTTTCAACACTCGTTACGTAATTCGCGATTTACTGTCACTCAAAAATGGATGCTATTGTTCATAGACAGGACTAAACTCCATGGAAACGCATTGTAAAAATCGTGAAAAAAAGTACCACTTTCCATAGGATTTTCTTTAAAAAAAAGTCCGATAATTTCATTACTATGTAAAAAAATTCATTTTATGAACTGCTGGCCCAGTTACCTCCGAGGATTAATAAATTTTATGGGACGAATCCTACGGGACCGGAATCGCCGAGGGTGAATGTTCCAGGAGCGAATTTGTCGGGGGCGAATTTTCCGGGCCTTCGATCCATTGATGTTTCGGATTTCTGAAGAAATTGTTTAATTTCAGTTTGGCATAACGACACTGAAATCGCTAATTATGCAAACCGACATGTAAATAATCCGCACCTCTTCCTCCTAACTGTGTTTTCGTTATTGGCAACCAATATATTTCGGTATGCCAAGGTTGCGAATGAGTACGTGTGGGCAGAAGCACAATCCATAGATTATAGAATAAAAATATTAGACTTTATATTTAGATCATTACGTGATGATCTCCTTACTCGAAATGATAACTGCTTTGATTAACAAGGTCAATGATAAGATGAGTAGGTGCAAGTTTGTGTTTTTTTTAATTTATCGTGGAAGCTTTTTAAGGCAAAAGCTTTGGTGAAACATGTTCAGGTGACCGATAAAAAAGTGCGTGCTGTAACGCTGTCTTTACTTGCAGATTGTGAACCTTAAAGATGTCGAGGGTGGAGAGAAAAGAATATCAGGAGACCAAGGTGATGCGAACAATGTCACCAGGACGAGGTGGCCGTAGTGGTTCTGCTCAAAATATTTCGCAATTCGATAATAACTTGGGTAAGTGACTTCAGTCCTTAACATTTATGTTTAACCGTTTTCGTAAAACCTGGGTTACTACCTGTAGGAAATGAGATTTTGCAGAAATTCTACAGATAAAGTGGATACAGATTCTGTGCAGAGTATGAATAGGTCCTATACAGTCCTGTGCAGATCTGTAAGGATTTTGTAGAAATAGAAATTCATACCTTAAATGAATCATTACATGCCGGGTTCATTCTGTAAGTATTTAGGAATTATGAAGTTATTGTAAAGCAACCGTGATTTTGTAAATATTCTGTAGAACTTCCTTACAGAACCAGTACGTCTTTCCCAGCACGTAATTTACTGCAATGCTAACTGAAGTAATTTTTTCACTTGATCTTTCCTCTATTCCTGTGTTCATTCTCAATTCTGATTGGGTGTACCGCATGATTTATTCTTTGTTTGCATGTAATGTTTGCACAATTTGTACAGAAACTACAGAATCAAACATAGAATGTGTACAGGGTGTCCCATTAATAATGGTCACAGGCTATATCTATGGAACCGTTAATTGCACAGCTTCGGAAAAAAAAAATTTGTTAACAAAAGGGGCCAAGAGAAATCGCTGGAAATTATTTTCAAGTTTCTAACTTCGCCGCTAGAGGGCGTATGATTCATGGTTAGGTAGAAAAATGACTTTTTTCCTAAAATATACCCAACAAACATGCATAAAAAATACATGCATAGTAATCTTGTATCAATTTTGCATCATTTTGATGGAGCACAAATTGCTCTAGCTCATAAAATATGAGGAGTGGGGGAAGGGGAACATCTCTTTAAGGAATTGATTGTAACTTCGGATTAGGTTAACAGATTTTCACAAAATAGGTCTTGTTGGAAGGAGCTCTCTTCGCGGAATCAGATTTTATTAAATAGAGTCTTTTTAGTAAATGTGATGAGTGGTAGAGGGCGCGATGTGACATTAACATAAACTTTGCAGGTTTTTTTGGTAATTTCAAATGGAATGATATTATTATTATATGATATTATCAAATAAGGTGAAATAGTGAGAATATCAGTGAAAACCGGATTTTGATATCTGTTTTCTAACCATAGATCTGGCGAAAATACGAATACATTCACAAATTTTAATTGCAATATTGATGCTCATTCAAGTTGGCTTTGAAACAAAAGAAAACAGAACAAAAGAAAGTTTATCAGTCCTTTCATTAAACGTATTCGTGCGAATTATCACCACGATGGGTGCCCGGCACATTTCTTGGTAAGCGAGAGTCGAGGCGAGAGTGTTTGAATTTGAGTTATCCTGGCAAATGGATAGAAAGAGGAAGTATTTTTTCACTCGACTTAACTTGCTTAGACTTAAATTTGTTTGAAAGGATAAAAGACGCACAGTCTTTCTAACAAGGCCAACTACAAGAAACGATATGGTGACGAGAATTAGAAATGTAATTCATAGTCATGGCTGAAGTTAAAGCAACTGTCTGTGTAGAGAGAGCTACACAGCAGAGACTCGTCTTTGTGTCGAAAATAATGGCAGACATTGAACATTTACGTTAATTATAATTATTATTTCTTTTATTATTTACTTAATTCATATTTCTCTGATTTAAAGTTTGAATCATTTTTTTGTTGCTCATAATTAAAAAACGTAGATTGAGTGTTAATTTTGAACTGCCATCGCCTCATTCACTTTGACATAATTATCGGTTGCTTTGTGTTCATTTGTTTCATATCCAACTTGGATGAATATAAATATTGCAATTAAAATTTGCGAATGTTCGTATTTTCCCCATATCTCTGCTTAGAAAACAGATATCAAAATGCGGTTTTCACTGATATTCTAACTTTTTCATCTTATTTGATAATAGAATATAATAATTATATGGTTCCATTTGAAATTTAAAAAAAAAACTTGCAAAGTTTATGTTAATGTCACATCGCGCCCTCTAGAGAGAGAGCTCTTTCCAACAAGACCTATTATGTGAAAATCTGCTAACCTAATCCGAAGTTACAATCAATTCCTTAAAGAGATGTTCCCCTTCCCCCACTTTTCATATTTTATGAGCTAGAGCAATTTGTGCTCCATCAAAATGATGCAAAATTGATACAAGATTACTATGCATGTATTTTTTATGCTTTTTTGTTGGGTATATTTTAGGAAAAAAGTCATTTGTCTACTTAACCTAACCATGAATCGTACGCCCTCTAGCGGCGAAGTTACAAACTTGAAAATAATTTCCAGCGATTTCTCTTGGCCCCTTTTGTTAACATGATTTTTTCCCCGAACCTGTGCAATTAACGGTTTCATAGATATGGCCTGTGACCATTATTAATGGGACACCCTGTACAGAATAGCTCATATGATCTCTAGAGAACTTTAGAGCTGCGATATTTTGTGCAAGTGCTATAAAGTATCGTTACATATGCTGTATAGATAACACGTTCATGTTCTATACAGATTCTGAAAAGGATTCGATAATTTATTGTAGAATTCTGTAGATATTGTGCACAAATCTTGCTGAGGTTTAATACAAATTCTGCTCGAGATTCTGAATGTATCAATATAGAGATATTGTACACGTATTTCAAGCGTATTGGTACTATAGTCTGCAAAATGAGTAAGTTTCGATTTCGGATTAGCGCTTATTTAAGGCACGCCATCAGTTTATATATCTTTGCCGTTCTAACACATAATAATTGTGGTAGAAGGCAAGTGGGTAGCCAGTTTTGTCACCGCGGGTGGTGAACTAAGAAGGACGCTCTACGTTAAAGGAATTTTAAATGGAAATACATGCACCAAAAAGAGATATCAATAGGTAAGTCATGCTTTGGCGCGGCTCGGGAAACGTCCATTTAAAAGCGCAATGCAGTGACGTTTCCCGAGCCGCGCCAAAGCACGACTTACCTATTGATATCTCTTTTTGGTGCATGTATTTCCATTTAAAATTCCGTTAACGTAGAGCGTCCTTCTTAGTTCACCACCCGCGGTGACAAAACTGGCTACCCACTTGCCTTCTACCACAATTATTATGTGTTAAGAACGGCAAAGATATACACGGTGTCCATTTTTCGAGTGCCACTATAGGGATCTCGCATATCTTAAGAGATAGACATTTGGTTAAATAAGGGCAAAGTTGCGAATTTTCGTGTTGAATAATAATCTGAAAAGAAATTTAAAATATCTTCAATAGTTTTGAAAATATTGCAAAAAAAAAAGAAAATTTCTGATTTTCGTTTTTAAGTTTTTCATAGTAAACTAATCGTTCTAGACATTTCTAATTAACACATTATTGAGACACTTTTTAATGGAGATTTCGAATATGGCATCTCGTTTTCAATAACTTTTAAGATGACGGAGAAACACGTGGCAACTTTAATTTTTCTTATGGGCGCCTTTTTGGATTTTGACATTTTGAGATTACGTCTTTTTTTCTCTTTACAACGATATAATCACACATGGTGGTTCAGTAACACATTTTTCCTAAAATTGCAATTTTCATTTTCTGCGAAGAGTGCTTTGGAAAAACAAAACGTTCTTTTGTTATGAACAAAAGGTTGACTTATTTCAGTAGTGTAATTTACGTTTGTGCTAGAATTATTGCGAAAATATTATTTAACGTTCCAATTTGAATTATAATTTTCTTGCAAAACGAAGGTTCAATTCTATTCAGATGAAAATCTCAACACAACTAGTTCCCTGCCAACGCTCCAACCAGACAGATGGATCAAACTGTCAAACTTTTGTTCACGATAAAAGAACGTTTTGTTTTTCCAAAGCACTCTTCCCGAAAAATTAAAAAGTGTCTGAATAATGTTTTTTGCGATATTTTCAAAACTACTAAAGATATTTTTAATTTCTTTTCAGATTATTATTCAGCACGAAAATTCGCAGTGTATAAACTGATGGCGTGCGTTAATTAAGCGCTAATCCGAAATCAAAACTTACTCATTTTACAGACAATATATGAATTTCTGTAGAGATTATGTTGAGAAGTAGTAAAAATTTTGTAAATATGTCTTATAGGTTACATAAAGAATCAGCACAATTATTTAGATCCTGTAGAGATCGTGCAAAAAATTTCTAGTAGGTCGCAGTTTTGTAGATACTTTATCGTACAGCAATTCTGTAGATGTTTACAGAATTAACAGAAATTTTCTACATTCTGTTCAAATGCTGTAAAGATTCTGAAGAGAGCAGCCTTGGCTGAAACCCCGCCCACTCAAAAATAAAGGCAAAAATAAAGGCAAATAAATGACTTGTGTGGAAAAGGGTTTTGGTATTCTATGCAGATTTTGTAGAAATCTTATAAATAAGCAGTAATCAGTAGACTGTCAACAAGCAGTAGAATCCTGTAGATAATACCTACTTTGTTTTGTGGGTAAAGCATAGATGCACAATGGACCAAATGATGACAAGTGTAACCTGTTACAGATTATCTGCTGGAGGATCTTCAATCTTCCGTTCCACAAAAGGGCGACACTCGAACGTATCGGGAAACCAGGGTGGTCAACAGCAATGCGGAGTCGCCCAGAAGTAACTCCCTAAATCGCGTGACGCATCTTAAGGCCTCGAATCCGGTCGTCGAATATGCAACCGACGACGCTTACAATTACACAGTATGAGTTCCAAAGAAATATTGTTCCCAGAGGGTGACTAACCTACACTTTTTGCAGTCACCCGACGGTTCTAACAACGTGCGAGGCTACAAAAAGGAAACGTACTCTTACAGCACGACGGCCAACGGCGTCCCACCCGAGAAGCATCGCATGCAGAACAACATCAATCAGCTCGACACGCTTCTGGACGACTTAAAACATGTCAAGCAATCCAGTTAGTTGCCTTTTTTATATTGTTCTAATTAATAATTGCAATGAATCAGCGCTATATTTACGATCGTTTATGTTGTAGGTACTATTAATAACGCTGGCGTCGATCCAGGCATGGTGTAAGTATCAATTTTTATAGAAAGTTATCGAGTAATTAGGTCTAGGCCAGGCGCCACAAGAACGGAATCTGGTCCGACTTTTTCCAATCCCCATAACAATATTAATTAACCTTCGTTTTTCATTGCCAAATTAATTTGTTCGAAGTCTGATGCTAAAACCGACGCACTTGGCATTGAACTATTGTCATGTGCGCAATTTCTATTGAAGATTACACTCTCATTGATATTATGAGTGAGGAGAGAATATCTTTTAATTGAAGGTTTACTGTTGTAGCCTCAGGTGTTCCCAAAAGTGTAGATGCGGAATAGAGGGTCTTTTGCCACTTCTTTTGTTTTTACTTAGTTACGATCGTGTAGGTGTTGATAAATTGACCAGAACAAAAGATGGCTGAAGGGAGTAAGCCTTCTCCATCACAGGCGTAGCAGTACCGGTAATTGTGGTTGTAGGGCAGATGCTCAAGCAGGCTATCCGCCGTATGGGTGGCAACTTTTTATGAGCTGTGATTTGCCGCACGTTTACCCACTGTAGATGATCATGGGTTTGACTGTTCCAATAAAGACGGGTTTTGTTTTTCCAAAGCACTCTTCTCAAAAAATTAAAAATTGTATTTTTAGGAAAAATGTGATACTGAACCACCATGTGTGATATATCGTTGTAAAGAGAAAAAAAGACGTAATCTCGAAATGTGAACATTCAAAATGGCGCCCATACGAAAAACTAAAGTTGCCACGAAAAAAAATTGTCTCAGATCGGTCCTGAAAAAAATTTTTCTTATAGAATGTGGCCTGTAGAATCCATAATTTCAAACAGTTTCAAGATTAGGCTACTAGTTCAAAAGTTACAGCCCTTTGAATTTTTTTCTAGTCTATAACTTTTGATTGAGAAGTCTAATCGAAAAAGTACGAATTGTTTTGGATTCTACACACCAAAATTAATAAGAAAAAGTGTTTTCCCGAGAAATTTTGGTGCAGTCGATTTTTGGTAAAAAAAGGAAGGTAATTAACTGCCTTTTTTGAGCCCCGAAAAAAAAATTGTCTCAGATCGATCCGGAAAAAAAAATTTTCTTATAGAATGTGGCCTGTAGAATCCATAATTTCAAACAGTTCCACGAGTGGGCTACTAGTTCAAAAGTTACAGCCCTTTGAATTTTTTTCGAAATTGGTTTCTAGTCTATAAGTTTTGATTGAGAAGTCTAATCGAAAATTAAATAAGAGAGATGTACGGTACGCGCAGTGGTCTATGCAAAAGATCCCTTAGTTAAACCACCTTGCATAATGTAGGTACTCATTATTTAATTAAAGTTTGTCATTATAATTTGCAATAACTAAATCAATTTTTATTAAATTACGTAATCGCGTATCCTACGTTTAATTTAAACCTCCTTAAATTGGCCCCACTTCTTTAAATTGCCACATTTTCACTTCACATGGTTAGTGGTGAACAAAAATTCTTAAAATGAAAAAGAAAAAAAGTGAAAAAAGGTACAAATATAGTTACGTTAGCGATTAATTTCGAAAGGCGACTCAAATCTTTGATATTGCAGCGAATACAACAAAAGTAAGGTGATGATGGGGAAGAAAGTCGTCGAACGCGAGCTGCACTACGGTGACACGCCACCTCGCGCTGGTGCTAGAACGTTGGAAAGATCTGACCGAGAGGGCTCTTTAACTCGCGAAATTGAATATGTTGACGAAGGTAAGTTTGGTAAGCGTCTTGAGTGGTTTTCACATATAACTCCAACAAGTTATGTAAAAACAAAAGAGCATCAGAAAATAAATTAATTTTTTTAAATAGGACAATTACTTTCTGCAATATTCTGGAAGAGCTTGAAATTGTCTACAATGATATCAAATATGTTATAATTACCTTAGAAATTAAAGCTACGGTAATCTTTTTAAAACCAATCGCAGTCACTGTGGAACTTTAAACAAAAACAAAAGAGAGTTTTTCACCAGTCATGTCTCTCACAAAATTATAACTTATAAGAACCACAATGTTTGTATGTTGTATGTTTTTATTTAAATTTCCACAGCTACTGCGATTGGTAATATACACATGAGTGTAGTTTTTATTTATAAGGTAATTAAGTAGGTATAACATATTCCAGCAAATGTCAGCCTAAATAATGCCCACATAAGACTTCGTTTTAGCTCAGGAATGAGAAGCCCAAAGATTTTGCCATGTATATAAGCTGATATAAGCCGAAAACTAAAGGTAACAGTAAACCTCTCGCCAGGAAAGGTTGCCGATCACAGCACACCTTGTCTCGACCTACAATCTATGGTTTTCTTTAAGATGCGAGTGACTTCCGGAATAGGATCATGCCGATATTGAACGAAAAGTCGTTTATTTGTTCAACTTTGACACGAGATACTATCCCGGAAGTCGCTCGCATCTTTAGAAAAACATAGATTGTAGACCGGGATCAAGTGTTCTGTGACCGGCAATCTTTCCTGGCGAGAGGTTTACTGTTACCTTTAGTTTTCGGCCTATATCACCTTATATACATGGCAAAATCTTTGGGCTTCTCATTCCTGAGCTAAAACGAGGTCTTATGTGGGCATTTTTAGGCTGACATTTGCTGGAATATGTTATACCTACTTAATTACCTTATAAATTAAAACTACAGTCATGTGTTTATTACCAATCGCAGTAGCTGTGGAAATTTAAATAAAAACATAAAATTTACAATAGGAGGCGAAGCAAACACTGAAAAGCAGTTGCAGAAATAACTATTATATTTAAATACATTGCACTTGCTTTCTATCATTACATCTAATACAAACTCTTAAAATTTTTCATCATTTGTGTAATTATTATTTTGTTGCATTGTGGAGACATGGCAGGTGAGAAACTCTCTTTTGTTTTTGTTTAAAGTTCCACAGTGACTGCGATTGGTTTTAAAAAGATTACCATAGCGTTAATTTCTAAGGTAATTATAACATATTTGATATCATTGTAAAGACAATTTCAAGCTCTTCAAGAATATTGCAGAAAGTAACCGTTCTATTTAAAAAAATTAATTTGTTTTCTGATGCGCTTTTGTTTTTATATCACTTGTTTTTTTGAATATGTATAGCTATCAGAATTTGAAAGTAGAGTATTTTTGTTTTAAATTTTTTTTCGTATTTCCAATAATAAAAGAAATATACGCTTCGACACGCAAAATCAATCGCACTGTATACAGGGTGTCACAATTATGTTAAAAAATGGCTTGGAAGAGGGGACCAAAAGAGGCTTTTTTAAGTGTCTGAAATGTTTCCTTTGTAGCGTACTTTAGACAGGCTTGTCTAATTTTTTTGGTTTGGCTTTTCTTGTTTTGTGTTTTCAAAATTTCTGCCCTAATATGATGTACCCCTAAACGAGGGTGAGAGAAAAAATTCTGATCTCGATGAAATTTGATTTTGTTATGCTCCCTAAGTTGAAGGGCCTCTGATTCGATATCATGCTTTGTATTCTTGTGCAGGAACGTATGGAGAAACAAGACCCATCCGCTATACCACTCCATCGCCATCTAGGAATCAAACATCCACTCTTACGAAGCAGAAGGTTGTTACCAACGTGCAAACTCAACCGCTGGAGGTTGTCGAGACGACAACTCCCGACATAAATCCTGAAATATTAGCGAGTTTGGATCCCAATCTTCTTCCGACTGGAAATACGAAGGTTACTACGACCATAAAAACGTACACCTACGAAATTCCCGGATCTGGTTATTCGCCTGGTGCCGCACCCGAGTCTGACAAATACGTTTATTCCCCCAACCAATCGGCGACAAGTCCCAGTAAAAGTTTCGTGTACACCAAAGTGGATAACAACGAGAGCACCGTTAGTTATCCACCTCCACAGGAGGAGCATTGGAAAACCAATGTGTATCGGGAAACGACAACAAATCAAAGCCCTCCATATCGGAGACCGACCTCTCCGCATCCCTCCGGTACAACAGTAATCAGGGAGACCACTCGCAATTACCCATCTGAGCCGCACCCACCCGGTGCGACCGTAATTCGGGAAACGACGCGTAATTATCAACCCGGCTACCAACCTGACCCTCATCCTTCCAAACAGACCTACATTTACAACGAAACAACGACAACAAAACACATAAACGACCCGTACGGGCATCCCAATTACCCTAACGAGCCGCAACCGGTAAATCGTGAACCTCCGCGAAACGACACTTACATCTACAAGGAGACGCATAACACAACCACCAATCGCTCGCCGGGCCCCTACCGCAACGGGTACCCCCCGCAGGAACCAGGCACGACGGTAATCTACAAGCACGACACTCACACGACCAACAACTATCCGCCACCGCAACAAAAACAGCCGCCACCGAATCGGACAATCATCATCAACAAGACCGAGAGGAATACCTACGACGATCGCGATCCCAATCGACGGCCGAACGAACCTTACGATCCCAACAATGTCAACATAACTTACAAATACACAACTCATAGTACGAGCTCGAATAATTACGGCGGGTATCCGCCCGAGGAATCTCAGCCGTTACTTAGACCACATCCTTTCCCGCACGACGGACCGGACGGTCCACCGAAGAGGGTCGATGAACTTATGGCCAAAATTGGACAAGAGGTAATTTTTTTTTATTCATTCTATGCAGGTTTCCCACAAACCCAGTTAGTGGGTCCAAAAAGTTTACGTAATTCGTTACTAACACAACACTCTAAAAAATTTAGCCAAATTCACCTAAACCCAACAGGAAATTTCGCGGTTTTTGAAAAATTCACACCTCCACATTGTTTTTTGCTTTTTAGCCCCCAGACAGTCCTTTAAATTCAGGCTATACGGCGCACGAGGCCGAATTAATCCATCAAAAGAAAGTGGAATCGTTAAAACAGCAAAGTGAGCCCAACGATGTGCAGAAAAAGGAAAGGAATCAAGCGCCGACTAAGAACATCTCGGGTCCTCCCGTCTACTATCCCCCAGGAGAGATGTTTATGAAAAAGGAGGAGTCTGGCGGATGGCGTGCCGAGGTAAGCGTCATCTCGGATAATTTCGTCACTATTGCGATATTTTAGGGAGCCATGTCGAAGGAATCTGGTAAATATCGGTACGAGGCGGAAAGCAGTAGCAAGAGTAAGGCAATGGGAGGCGCTGCCGTCGTGCCCGTCTGCTTGCCGCTATGTTGTGGATTACCGTGTACCATTTTGTAACCTACTTTTTGTATATTATTTACTAATATTTATTTGACAATTGGACGTGTTAATACAAAATTGTTAATAATAGTCTTACGCGGAAAGATGTATTAACCGGATTTTACAAAGTGTATATTTTGATTAAAACGCATATAATCTAAGGTGCTAATATTCTAAGAGATTATAATAAAAATTAACAAATTCTAAGTATTTGGATCCTGAATTAGACCTAGAAGTGCACAATCTGCCTCCAACAGTGTGAGATCCTTATCGAATCCTAAAAATTTGGATGACAACTCCAAGCTGTTGATCCGTAACCGTACTTTTGCCCCTCGAACGTAGTTACTATAATTAAAATAGTCAAAGAGTTAAAATCGCGATTCCGGGACCAACCTTGCATGCTTCTTGGGCCTCGCGCACACGCAGTGAAATTTCCATCCGAAATCTATGTACAGGTCATCTTCGACTATGTGATAAATTCGACCTTGTACGACTTTACCTTCCGGATCTCCCAGCTGAAGCGACAACTATTAAATCGAGTAAAACGAACGACCCTACTCACATCTATAAACTTGGAATTACGTAGCAAAGACTGAAATGTCGCAGACTCCGATTTGGTATCGTCCAGCAATGTGTCGAACTTTTCGTACGCCTTGGCAAAACCGCGCTTTTCCGTAACAGCCTCCGCGACCGGTGGTTGTGGGATGTCTGTTGATAGGTAGCATTGCAACTTCTTGTAACGACTACATCGTGTTATTAAAGTTTTTGCACAATTTCTAATCATTCCGATAAATTTGAGGTTAGGTACATAAATAAAGGTCTGCTTACACGGTAGGTATCATTATACCGTTTTACACATGTCTTGAAAAGAATCTTCTGAACCGCGTGAAAGTCTTGGAACGACAAAAATTCGATTTCCGTCACCGACATTCCATGACAAAACACCCTGGTCACCGCTAAAAATAAATAGACAACTTTGCCTTTGCAGACGAGATTTTGTAGGGAAAGAAAAAAGCTGGCATCTTCAGTGCATTAGATTAAGTTAGACCTCTGTTGTCGAAATTGTCCCTCATATGTTTAAACTCAATACTCAATTTCAAAGGCGCTAAGTCAAGTTTTCCAAACGTTTCGTCAAACGCGCCTACGAACTCCTTGTGTACTCGGCTTAATCGTTACAATGTTGCCAAGTTGACTCCAACTACGCACCTGTCAATTTCATTTTTCAAGTTGTGGATAAAAGTCCGTTTTTCCTTCTGTTAGTTGGAGGGAAACTAATTGCGGTAAAAATTTTGTATTTTCGAATATCGTTCGAGAAGTGTGTTCAACCGGTGAGATTTTATTCATTTATTTCCCTTCAATTCACGGCAACTGTGCAGAATTCCAACGTAAACATAACCTTCACGCGACATCACAAAGAAGAGCGAAACCACCCCCGTTGTTCGTAAAATGGTGGATGAAAAAATCGAAATGAACAACGATAACGAAACGTACACGGCGACCGGCTCCTCCGATCCCCAAAACTTGCAGGAACTGACCCAATACGTGCAGAATCTGCTCGAAAGCATCCAGATCAAATTTCAAAATATGTCCGATCAAATTTTATCGAGAATCGACGAGATGGGCAATCGAATTGACGATTTAGAGAAAAATATCGGCGATTTGATGACACAGGCCGGTGTAGAAGGGACGGAAAAATGAATCCATTTAAATTATTTTAGTCATTGTAACCAACATAAAACATTGTCGTCCGAAACTCCCCCAAGATTTTTAACTTTTTTACGTAATTTGTTAAAACGAGTCATATTCCTTAATTATACATACATTTATTTGTTACACCCAAAGTATTTTAAGATTAGACCTGTTTTTTAATGAGTTGAATTAAAATAATTTCTAGTAAATTTCGGTTTTTCACTACGTAATCGACCGTCGTGCCGGTTGTGGTTTCCAGTTTCCTGGTTCGTTTGTCCTTTGGTCTAGTTAAAAATGGCCTCTAAGGGCGAGGAAAAAGTTTCGTGTTGCGGCAAACTTGGCTTAAAGCCGTTAACGGGGCACAATATCCTATTTTATTACGCCCCCCTGCAAGGTGCTCTTAGCTACAGTGCTTTGTCTGTAAATGTTATGAATCCTTCGCTAATCTTAAGGTAGGTGAGTTTCGGCGACGATCGGCCAACTACAACTTCCATTTCGTAGGGTCTTTCCGAAGCGGGACATAACCAACATGCTTTTAATTCACACGTTAGTAGGGTCCGGATTATACCTATACAATCGGCCACATCTGCAGGCAGTACCGAAGCAGAAACGCGTACTTTACTGGTAGGATTGGTACATTTCCAATCGTGATAACTAAAATTGTAACTTCCTTAGTACGTTTGGAGCCGTGTCCTTCTCTCTAGGATCAGTGTTGATTTGGGCTATTTTACGTAGCGTAATACCACAGAATGTCGCACTGTGTACGGTTGCCGGATTAAGTTCCGGTCTGGCATTAATGAAGATTGGCTGCAGTTACGTGGATCACGTTGACTCGCTTGTCAAGAACTAATTTATTATACTCGCTTAGTAATGTCTGTATTTAGCTTGGTGTAATAAAACCATTGTTTCTATACCAAATCAATTATAGTCTAAAAATTGGCCCTTGTGCTTTGATACATTGTGTGGTGTATGCAACCAATCATACACTAAAGTATTGTAATGTCTATGTACATATTGTATCGATGTTCAAATGACACATTGCATTTGATGTATCTTCATCGGATGGCAGTGGCAGAGGGCTTGCGTGTGTTTCTGGGGTAGCATATCTACTGACCCATGATTGAGAGGCCCGGAGAGACACCACCCACCTACACAATTCAAAACTTGACACCATATTCCCGCTTGTAACGTGCTCCAATGCAGACACGGGCACAAAATCAAAGAATGGGGAACTAGGCCACAGTCTCAATGACACTAGTGCGTAGAAAACTTGGAAATCGAAGAGTTAAATGTATCCTGCAAGTAAATAGGCAGGTGGAATGATTAGAAATTAGGAAAAAAGAATTAAAACAGCTGAATTTTTCCGCGGGTGAAATCCCGGGGGTTAAAAGGGGTGGAAAGTGGTGTTTTGCAAATTGTGGCAAAACTACATAGCTTGTTTTATGATAAATAAAAAGATAATTTTTGGGCCCATGAAGTTGAACCGTTTGCAAGATCTCACGATTTCTGAAAAAAAACCACTTCTTTTTCAAGGGGATGAAAAATCTATTTTTTTTCATCGTACAGAGGTCCGCGGGGTAGCAAAAATGTCGTAACGACTTACATTTTAATAATAAAAAATAATAAATATTATTCCAATAGAATAATTTTAAGAAAAGCGGCAAAAACGGGGAAAACAGTTTTAAGATACCTATACCGTTTTTGCCAGTAGGTAAATAGCTTTTTTTGCAAATAAATTAACGTATTGGATCCGCGCTAATAAAAAGTTTTTGAAGTCTTCTCTCTCCTCTTTAATGTTGCTAAAATATTTTCTTTTGTTTCCTAGTGAATAGTAAATAAGTGAATAATAAAGATGTTTTAACTAAAACAGTTGAACATAAGATAACAAAAGAGAATATTTAAGCAAACATTAAAGAGAAGCAAGAAGACATCTTTCGAAAAAAATCCAACACGTTGATTTATCATGTCAAAAATCGTGTATATCTTAAAACTGTTTTCCAGTTTTTGGCGATTTTCTCGAATTTTTGCTATAGGAATAATATTTTTTTATTTTTGTTTATTAAAATATAAGCCTTCCCGAAAATTTTGCTACCCCGCGCACCTCTGTATGATGAAAAAAAATAGATGTTTCGTCCCCTTGAAAAGGAGGTGGGTTTTTTCATAAATCGTGACATCTTGGAAACGGTTCAACTTTATGGGCCCAAAAATCATGTTCTTTTTTATCATAAAATAAGCTATGTTTCCTCCAAATTTCCCTACGACATTTTTTCGCAAAACTAGGAATAAAAAACGAAAAAAACAGTTTTTCCGATTTTTCAAGGAAAATTTGAGGTTATGTGAAAATAGTGCGCAGATACAAAAGTTGCTCATTTTTTTTAATCTCTATAACTTTTACATTTAACATTTTCGTCTAAAATTAATAGTTTTGCCACAATTTGCAAAGCACCACTTTCAACCCCCGGGATTTCACCCGCGGAAAAATTCAGCTGTTTTAATTATTTTTCCCCAATTTCTATTCATTTCACCTGCCTGAAAAACCCGGTTTCGCCCGGTAACTAATTTTTGTTGTAAAAAAATATTATACACGGTGTCCATTTTTCGAGTGCCACTATGGGGATCTCGTTTACCTGAAGAGATAGAGAGTTGGTTAAATGGGGGCGAATTTTCGTGCTGAATAATAATCTGAACAGAAATTAAAAATATCTTTAGTAGTTTTGAAAATATCGCAAAAAAACATTAATCAGGCACTTTTTAATTTTTCGGGAAGAGTGCTTTGGAAAAACAAAACGTTCTTTTATCGTGAACAAAAGTTTTGACAGTTTGATCCATCTGTCTGGTTGGAGCGTTGGCAGGGAACTAGTTGTGTTGAGATTTTCATCTGAATAGAATTGAACCTTCGTTTTGCAAGAAAATTATAATTCAAATTAGAACAAAATACTCAAGAATAAACAATATTTTCGCAATAATTCTAGCACAAACGTAAATTACACTCTTGAAATAAGTCAACCTTTTGTTCACAACAAAAGAACGTTTTGTTTTTCCAAAGCACTCTTCGCAGAAAATGAAAATTGCAATTTTAGGAAAAATGTGCTACTGAACCATATCATGTGTGATATATCGTCGTAGAGAAAAAAAAAGACGTAATCTCAAAATGTCAAAATCCAAAAAGGCGCCCATAAGAAAAATTAAAGTTGCCACGTGTTTCTCCGTCATCTTAAAAATTATTGAAAACGATATTCGAAATCTCCATTAAAAAGCATCTGAATAATGTGTTAATTAGAAATGTCTAGAACGATTAGGTACCTAGTTTACTATGAAAAAATTAAAAAGGAAAATCAGAAATTTTTTTTTTTTGCAATATTTTCAAAACTATTGAACATATTTTAAATTTATTTTCAGATTATTATTCAACACGAAAATTCGCAACTTTGCCCTCATTTATAACCAAAGATATGCGAGATCCCCATAGTGGCATTCGAAAAATGGACACCGTGTATAGCCTGGACTAAAAGGGGAAGTGTAAGAAGACCGTAACGCCTATAGGTACTTAATTCCCAGACAGCATGGTTGAAATACACGAACTCGGGGGTTTCGAAAACACAGGTAACTATCAAGCGAAAAGGCTCCACGAAACCTGCGGCTCTCAAAATGAGCCATGAGAAATGAAGGGCGGAGGAGCAGTCCCAACAAAGGTATCGGCTACAAAATGTTTACCCAGGGAGGTGATGAGCCTAAAAAAGACTAGGCATATGTTTTCACAAATTCGCGTTCTTACAGGTGAACCCAATCCTTTTCCCATTCCCCATGCCCTTGCCCGCGCCTGTGTCCTATTCCCATTCCCTAAAATGTTTCGCCATCAGAACTCATTATAGTTTAAGGGAAGTTGACCGAGACACCTAGTTCCTTACGAAAGCGCTTTCGACCTATGGTGTATTAGGCGAAAGTACCTACTTATTTTGACTCCCTTTAACACCTCCAAAATTAACGACATTGCTAACTTGTTCACCTGGTATAAGCACTAACTGTTACAATTCAATAAATTACCGTTAAAATGCCGCATGGCATTCTTTATAGAAGAATAAGATTCCTGCACTGAATCCTTTTGAGAAGAAAAGAGGGAGAATTTTCCGCAAATGAACACTATGAGACAAAATTATTTCTTTACCGCAAGTCTTAGAAAAGTCGAGCTATCTACAGATTCTGTTAATAGAAACTAGTTGACGAAGGTGCACAGGTATGTCTTATACCAGGTGATTCATTAGAAGTGAAGACAATTTGAATTTCCCGCAAATCAAAAAAATTATGCAGTTGGTACTAACTGATGATCATTTATTTAATTGCAGTGGTGTATCATCATGCATTCAGTAAATCGTTTACTTATTTATAATCTACAAATACTGCTTCTGTTTTACCACAAATTATAAACTAACACTAGACACAGTCACGTTTCTTACATATTTTAGTGCATCAACTCTAAAAATTGTTCAAAATGGAAAAAGTAATAAACCGCAAATGACACACAACAATTAACGGCGACACTGGTTTCTTAAATGACAGTCACGACAGAAAAAAATTACTAACGAAATTCAAACCGTCAATCTAACAATGCAAAAAATACTAAAACCTTACGCGCGAAATTCAAGCGTTTATCACTCCTAATGAATCACCCGGTATCTTTTATCACAGTGAGATTCGCAGAAAAAAATCATTTCGCTTCGTAAAATTGGTATGGCTATGAAGTCATAGTCATGCCGATCGATACAAACTGATTGATGCCGCGAGAGAGACCTTAGGAATAATCAACCCAGTTGAAAAACTGAGTCACTAAAGATCACTTTTAGTTGCACTATACACTTCACTTTTCCCCCACTGCTGCAAAATAATACAACCATGCATAGAAAAGAAAAATCCTACCTTTATAAGGCTGCACTTCTACAATCTGAAACAAGAAGAAAAATAAGTTAAAATTAATAAAAAAAAGGTAATGTTGGGGGATGGGGAGGGGTTTCTTTATTGAAAGAGACACCCTAGATGTGAGGCACTTTTGCGTTGCTATTACGTCTTAATAAAGATGTGAAAATTTACCTTAACCTTATTAATACAGTCTGGCACCATCACCGTAGGCCTTCACGATCATGGATTCTCCTCGAACGCCATTACCAATAACTAAAAAAAATTATATGAAGTTTTGTGTTTCTGTTATGGACAGTGAAAAACTCACCTCGTTTGCGTGATCCATGTCGATATAATCGTTGAACTGAGTCGAAAGCAGGCCTGAATTCGAGCTGATCCATCGCAGAGGTCGTTGGCAGCGCTGGATTAAGAGGGAGACAATGGGGGCTACAGCGCTTGGAAACCCGGGGGGAATACAAGTAATACGAATGTTCCCGTAAAATTTGGAAATATCTGTAACTTCTTATTGACCATTAAAAAATACCACAGAGTGTGGCAAGCAGGTATAATTTCAAAATAATTGGACGCTACAAACAATAATCTCAATAATCGATCAGAGAACCAAAAAATTTAGTTTCTTGTTCAATTGCTTGTTGACAGTCTTAAAAGGTAAAAGTTGGAACTGAAATTTTTGATAAAGGGAGGGGTGGAGGGGGGCTTTCGGAAAATTTAATCCGGCACTGGCGATCAGCATAATCCTCACCAGCAGATTGAGCGACGTTGGCGCCTGTAACAATCGATGAGATTAGTACGTAGCTAGGTAACCACATAAAGTTTTTAGTTGATGAAGTAATCCATTATTATATTATGACCACGCACTTACCTTCCTCTAAGATGAACTTCGTGCAATAATAAATGAAAATGTAATAATTCTCAAAGTCCCTCAGCTTGGGAACGGAAAAACGGCACCAATGATTCTTTAGGCTTATTCGCAGAGTAAATCTGTTTGCATCACAGAGCTGGTATGGCTGTGAATTCACAGTCACACTCGCCAATATGAAGGAAACAGATGGACGCTGCGAAAAAGTCTATCCTAAGAATCATTGCAGTCAATCGTACGTCACTAGGATGACAGACAGGGAAAATACACACGAAGCTCATGCTCAGAACAATTATTGGTCTTCCTTCTGGTTGATATTCACTATTCACTTTTGCCCCCCGTACAAAAAATGACATGCAATACACCATGCATAAAAGGAAAAATCCTACCTTATGAGGCCGCCTTTCTGCAATCTGTAACAAAAAGAAGATTTATGTTAGAAATGATATTCAAATATGTATAGTTTAAAACAATTGAAAATTTTGACTGGGACAGTAGTCAAGCGTTTGTTTGTTTGACCGTTTTCTTAAAGAAATTGAGCAATAAAAAGGAATGGACACTTACCCTTTAGCCTCAATAATTCAGTCTGTCCTGGGAAGAACCATATCAACCAAAGTAATGATGAAACACTGCACACTTCCCCGGCACTCCTCGTTCGTCAAGAACTGAAAAGTAAAATATAATCAATTGCAATATGAGAAAATGATCATTTTTGTTTTGTGCTTTTTGAAAACACACTGTAAACGTTAAAATAATTGCATTCAATTCTCAAGAGCGAAATTAATCATTGTAAGTACACCTTGTATAATAAGCAAATATATTATATTATTATCAATTATCATTATATAAGTATATGATCCAAAAATGCCACAAAAATTACTTTGAACAGGTACGCCAATGCACGATACACCCCATACACTCACTGTATCGTGCGCCAATGGTAAAATTTCAGTAACCTCTAACACACAGTTTATTGTTTATACTAATATACTGTAAATCTGATTGTTAATGAATAAGTTTACTTTGAAAAAAATCATCTGTTGAAGTGCAAGTCATAAGAAAATCAAGAGAGATTGTTTGAAGAAGTGCCGCAATGACTGAAGGAATTGGGATGCGAACCCTGGTAACCGATAAGGGCCCCCCCCTGTTTACGACGAGAGTGTCTTTTTACTTGGTTTGCTTATGACTAGCTATCCTCCTTCGTAAAGATGGCAGGTGTCGGAGAAGAGATGTCAACGAGGGTATTTGCAGTGGAGATCGGTTCCCATTACTTGGCAGCAAGCCAAATGGAAGCGGTAAAGTTGGTAAGATTCGTTTTAATTTGAAATTTATGATTTGAAATTGGAATTGTGCAGGTAGTCCTGCCACGGGTAAAGGTTTCGTCAAACTGACGCAGTGGAACTGTTTGTACAGCTAAGAAACGTGGGTCTAGCGCACAGAATGAAGTTTAACGAAGTAACGCAGAATTTACACTCTTCCCTGAAGTACCACGATTTCAATTAAATTGTCACAATTGTAGTATGAATGTTCTGCAAGTCAGTGATCATTTCTCTGTATTGAACGTCGAATTGAACGCAGCTGACATAACCTACTTCAACGGATTAATATGAAGGGTAGCAAAATGACAGAGCCCTATCGTGCCTGATAAATAAATCGGAAACTAAATATACCGCAGCAAGTTGTTTTATTATAAACCGTCGATACTAAGGTACGTCATATGTTAAGGCTAGCGCAAGCAGTGCTTACGTTCACCAGACGAAGGAAGCGCTACCCAAAGACAGGAATATTCTAGTAAGGTTTTCTCGCGAGTTACTGTGTGATAGCACTGTCGAGGTCCGTACATCGACTCACTGTGATGTGTACACCTCGACAGTGCTATCAGACACCCGTCTTTAGGTAGCGTTAATGAAGCACTTCGTCTGGTGAACATTATCGTAACCGTCACCACGAAACTTTTAAAGCTCTAAAAACTTACCCCACATCAACATATCAATGAAATCTTAGGCGTCTTGATTCAAACACGAAAACAGGGGGCACAAAACGTTAAGTTTTAAACGTAAACAAACGAATTTAAAATAGGACGCCATCTATTTGTTCTTGCGATAACATTTAACACGACATCGAAAAGACCGATTTGTGAACACTTCCCCGCCGGTTTTTGTTAATTTAAGCGTTGAATTTAACAACAAAATCAAAATTAACGTGTTCGCGTCCCGAGATCCTATACGCAAACGCCGATTTAAATTCGTACGAAAAGGAGAAGGGGACGCCATAACTTTTTGTAGTTTAATATTACGTTTAACACGCGATTTACGTATGATTAACCGAAACGAACTATGTGCCAGAATTGTTCCCGTCTTTTATTTGACTTTTGTTAAGTTTATTTTAATATCGCACTTCGTAAATTAGCAGCAAATCGGAAAAATACAACACGCTTGGAACGGCAGCAGCGACATATTTGGTCACGTGACGAAGATAGTGATCATGACGTCACAGCTGCAAGACTCGCCACGATTCGCCCGTTTCAAAAAATGGTCCAATCAAATGCGTCCGGCTTTCTGTTTACTAGTTATTCCCCGAATTCTAAAACGATGGCAAAATTACTTCCCAAGATCTAAAAACTGTTCTATTGCAAAACGTATTATTATTATTATTATTATAACAGTTTATTTCCATCAAAGACCTGGTTGCAGTGGTAAGGTGCCGAGGAGTCAAACAGGTGTAATAGTGTTGGTCTATCTACGGGGGGATTTTATCGAAGCACCGACGAGGAAAGTCCTAATTGACTACCGCAATGGGAGAAATGTAAACTTTCAAATTGGACCAACATCAGCACTAGAGGTAAGTCACTACATAATTTCAACTTCTTTTAAAATAACATGAATAGGGTAGGGACCGATTTTGCTCAATAGAATTATGCCGAAGGAGGTTTTATACGTAATGTCCCACCTTTTACTAATTGGGGCAAATACAAAACAAAACTGGCATGTCTACAAAGAGGCTTTTTGCTGTTGGACCACATGCACATATGCCGTGAGATGTGGGCCTCCCTTTATACAAAGAGCACCTCGATCTAAAGTTCTTGAAATCCACACGCAGACACAAAGGAGTACCTTGAAATAGCACAGTTCAATGTCTACGAGTCTACACAAACTTGTTAGTAATATGATGGTATCGGAAGGTTTAATTTAGCCACAGAAGAAGTTGTATGTGATTTAGCCTAAAACTAGGTTGGAGAGCTATAGAAAACACCAGTTCTTTTTATATTTCATTTATTAAGGGCTGCCCCCCCCCCCCCTTGAATTATTTCCTGAGATTGTGTTTATGAAAGTAAAAATGTCATGCCCATGCCTTTGGGCCACTAAAGGCAAGTAAAACTTTTGAAAAAGGCGGGGGGGGGGGTGGACACGTTCTACCTACCCTTCATGGTATTCTAATAAAAGGCTTTATCGAAATAAATTGGTTTCTATAAACTTACGCTTACCCCTTATCAAACTGTGGTGATTTTATCCTTCATGGTAGGTACTCTATTGTCTCTAATGAATTAAAGCTCTCAAAGAAAGGAATCGATTTCTACTAACGATATAGTCCTCTTCCTGGCCTCCTCTCCGTGATCGCTTAGAATTTCTTATATTTCAAAAGCCAAATGTCGGAGGAGGGCACTCACAAAAGGGCGATTGGGACGTCTGGAAGATATTCTTTGGTGATGGCAAAACTTAATTGAGACCGAATATTTGGTATACATATTTTGAGGATTGCAAGCCTTGAAATAATCTAATGTGCGGGGCGTTTTATATTCATTTTTGACTAGAACTAAGAGTGTCAAATCTAAATAAAATGTTGAATGCCTAAATCCTCCAGTGCTTTAAAATGTGGTGCATTTGTGAAGGTTACGTGCCATTTGTCATTTACTGACAAAAGTAGCTGTAGCTTTTTTGACAGTTACGCCAAATTGTAAGTATTTAATGAGTACCGAAGGGTATGATGTGAACCAGTCGTCCCAATCAGATCTTGTGAGAAAATGTGAACAAAACTTTTACTTGACAGCGACGATACAGGGTCGACTATCTTACCTGTTGATGTCCATCCATGCGGTGACTCCGTCGATATGTGCAAGGTACCTCTTATCTAGACCCCCTAAAGTTAAAGAAATTAATTCGATTTTGCGTAGATTAACGACCTACAACCCGGGGCCTATCCTTTTCTATAACATGCTGTACGGGGTCGCCGCCCATTTGCATTGCAGACCTCACATGCAGCTGCTAGGAAGTTTCCACAGAGTCGCGTTTAGGTACGAAAGAGGTACATCTTGCGCACTTAATGCCCAATTTTAGTATTTTAGGCTCGATCGCTTTCAACCACTCTTGCATGATGGGGTTTCAGTGGGTGGTAAATACGTTCCCCATGCGTCCTTACCTTCGAACGTTCATGGGATTTTTCGTTGGTAGATTAATGATGGTTTACTTCCTCGCTTATATGTACCATGTCGATTCGCGCAGTGTGGTTGGCCAAATTGTGGAACGCGATGCTAATTATGAATCGATGTATTTGTAACTTTTACGAGTGGGTACCTAATAAATACTTACAATGGCATTCATATACAGTGTGTCCCTGTTATTATTAAAGATAGAGAATTGGTTAAATGGGCAATGTTTTGCAGTTTTGGATGCTTATTTAAAATTTCCTTATGGAGAGGGGCGGACTGGGTACTTTTACGGGCCAGGTGGAATTGCATAGGTTATGGGCCATTAAAGTATTAGTGTGTGTGTGTGGGGGGGGGGTAGCTCTGCGGTGCACCACAAAAACATTTTTTCATTTTTTTGTTTCATTTTAGTACTCCTTTTTCGGAAATCAATTAGAATACAGTTTTTTTTTAAAATTGCAGCTGATTTAAAAGTAACAAAATATACAATCCAAACGAGGCGCGTCGCCTATCATTGTACTTCAGCACTTTCATACTACGACAAAAAATGGTAAATTCATTGTAAAACACTTCAATTAAAACAGAATTTTTTAATTTTTTAACAACCTAACATCAACTCCAATTAGAGAAACGTGTTAATAATTTATTAATAGTGCAAGAAACTAAATACAGCACATACTTATAAATTTCCAACGGGCCATTATGACGTACAGGCCAGGTGGCAATCGCCACCCGCCCCCCCCCCCCCTCCGGGCCAGTCCGCCGCTGCTTATGGAAATTCAAAATGTCGCATAGGTTCGACGTAAATTCAAAAAAACTAAAATTGGTCATTTCCTTGAATGTCTTATATCATCGAAAGTATTAGAGATATAAAAAAAGTTTTATATAAAAGTGTCTATAGGCACTTATTGTGTACAGTATTCAGAGAGAAATTCTAAACGCTGTATTTACGAGGTTTTCATTGTTTAACAGGTTTTAAGAGTAATACAAAACCTTACTATGTGATCACTCGCATGCATGCGAAAAAGTAAGTGTAGCGTGGAAAATTGTCATGATGTAAACAGTTGATTTGATGATTATCGTATTTGTTTTTAATGGAAAATGTAAATATACTTGAGTTATCGTTATCGTCAATTATAATAGGATAGGTAAGTAGTAGAGGCGATTTCGTATACTTGAACTAATTGCATATTTTCATTGCTTTAACGCCCAAGGTCTTGCTTTGAGATCGGGCACGCCACTTCTGACCTTTAGCAACCCATGTTGTGCTTGTAGCCAGAAAGTTGGGCTGGTAGTTTGGAAAATTGTTTTGGTCCAAATCTATTTTCTTAGGCCACTTTGTTTTTCCTTGAATCGATTTCGACCGCGGAGATATTTTTAACTACTAACTAATTTCATTATCATGCTTTAAAAATAGGACAAGGAGTTCTCGTTACCATTATCGGGCACAATGCTTTGCTCCAATTTTTGTTGGAGTACGCAATGAGATCAAACTCTTCAAGATTCCAGAGAAATTTGACAAAATCTTCGAATTTTTCAAATTCTGTGTGTTCCTCACGCTATTGCTGTTCTTCGATCTCTTCCCTTAATGCCTTGGAGCACTTCACTCCATTCTCTTGTGCGCATTCTTTAATTCTATCGACCTCTGGTTATTTAATTTTCTCATTTTCTTCAATTCTGCCTGTACTTTAAGTGTTTCACTTTTTTTCATTTATCCAAATCTTGTATTGCTCATGCGATTTAAAATTTTTAAGTTGATTTCCTCCCACTAGTCTAGCACTTCTTTTATGTGGCCTGGCTCCTTGTTTGGCCAGTTCATCTGCCTTCATGTTGCCTGCAATGTCAGAACGCCCTGGCACTCACCATAGTGTGATACGGTTACCAGTTGCCAATTTCTTTAGATTGCAGGTGCACTCCCCGACTATACTTTGAAGTCGCAGGTACGGGCTACTAACGTCCTCAGTGTGCACCTTGACTATCTGTGAGCATGTCTATTTTTTTCCCCCTTCTTACCCATTTCTAGGTTTATGAGAGCACAGAGTTTTATGACATAGACCTCTGCTCGAAAGACGATGGCTTTTTGCCCCAGTGATCCCGAAATAAAGGCAAAATAAAATAAAATAAATTCGGCAGTTTGGGGCGCTGATCCCTATCCCTGTTTTACCGTTAACGAATCCCATTTCATGGAAGGATGTAGGACAGTCCTTTGGTAGAGCTAGAGTAGTAATTTTATTAGTGGCTCTGTAAAAATTTCAATTAATGAACACAAATTTTCAAAAATTGTGTTCAAAAGAGTCATATTTTGGTTCAAAAAGATAAGAAATTGTGTTCAAAAAGTCCAATTTTCGATCAAAGAAATGAATAATTTAAAATTTCAACTAAACCTTTTGAAATGTCACTAAAGAAGAAACAAATGAGCAATTTTGACACAAAACCTCAAAACATTTCAGTTTATGAACACTAATTTTCAAAAATTGGGTTCAAAAGAGTCATATTTTGCATCAAAAAGGCATGAAATTGTGTTCAAAAAGTACAGTTTTCAATTAAAAAATGAACAGTTCAAAATTTCAACCAAACCCCTTCAAATTACACTAATGAAGAGCAAATTAACTATTGTGATACAAAACCTCAAAAAATGTCAATTAATGAACACAAATTTTCAAAAACTGTGTTCAAGAGTCACATTTTGGATCAAAAAGGCATGAAATTATGTTCAAAAAATAGGTTTTTTCAATTAAAAATTGAACAGGCCAAAATTTCAACTAAACCCCCTTGAAATTTCACTAATGAAGAACCAAATTAACTATTGTGATACAAAACTTCAAAAAATTTCAATTAATGAACACAAATTTTCAAAAATTGTGTTCAAAAGAATTATATTTTGGTTCAAAAAGGTAAGAAATTGTGTTCAAAAAGTGACATTTTCGATCAAAAAAATGAATAATTTAAAATTTCAACTAAACCTTTTGAAATTTCACTAAAGAAGAAACAAATGAGTAATTTTGACACAAAACCTCAAAACATTTCAGTTTATGAACACTAATTTTGAAAAATTGTGTTCAAAAGAGTCATATTTTGGATCAAAAAGGCATGAAATTATGTTCAAAAATATAGTTTTTTTCAATTAAAAAATAAACAGTTCCAAATTTCAACCAAAGCTCTTGAAATTTAACTAATGAAGAACCAAATTAACTATTATGATACAAAACTTCAAAAAATGTCAATTAATAACACAAATTTTCAAAAATTGTGTTCAAAAGAGTCATATTTTGGTTTAAAAACGTATTAAATTGTGTTCAAAAAGTGCAATTTTCGATCAAAAAATGAATAATTTAAAATTTGAACTAAACCTCTTGAAATTTCACTAAAGAAGAAACAAATTAGCAATTTTGATAGAAAACCTCGAAACATTTCACTTTATGAACACAAATTTTCAAAAATTGTGTTCAAAAGAGTCATACTTTGGATTAAAAAGGCATGAAATTATGTACAAAAAGTAGTTTTTTCAATTAAAAAATAAACAGAGCTGACGAAGCTGGTACGATTCGTCCCCAAATTTAATTAAAATTTATCGAAACATACGAAGGTTGCCTATGATTACAAAACAAGTGCGTCTAAAAGTTAAAATAAAGTCACTAGATATAGAAAGTACCGCAATCATCCGCCATTTTTGGGCAAATTTGCTGCCAACTTAAAAAAATTGACAAATAAAATCTGAATAGCTGTAATTTTTATAACCTAACTTCATAGTACTGTCATGTTTTATAAAAATATATACAGATATCTCCAAACAGGTGGAACAATCCCTAATATTAAAGTTACTAGAATCTGGTAACTTCCTTCCGCCATTTTTGGGCAAGAATCATACGTTCTCTCTCTAACACACGAGCCCAATGGATTGCGGTACTTTCTATATTTAGTGACTTTAAGTTAAAATACATCAACCGTCATTAACTTATTGTACAGCTTTCGTTTATTTTAGGAATTAATAATAAACAAAATTATTCACAGAATATGGATATAATTAGAATTATTAGTATGATCTGGCGGTTTGCTAACTATTTACAAATACAGAGAACAGAAATACAAAGCGTATCCATGTCTCCACCGCTAACGTATAGGTAACCTAGTTAAAGCAGAAAATTAGAAATCATTATCGACATTAATTTGTAAATTGAAAAGGCAAAATGGCATGTGATTCAACTAGTTAGCCGACTGCGTGACTGTGCAAATTTTATCACGTCACGTACTTACAAGCTTTTTATGTCTTAATTGCTTTGCCTCCCTGGCCTGTATAGGAACTATTACATTAGGCACAACTGGAACTATGTACGCCATTTCACTGGGGCTTCCTTCTACGATTTTGATTCGCTTCATCTGAATTCCTTTGTAGTCGCGAACGAGAAAATGGGAATGCTTGCCCAAGATAATTTTTATCTAACTACCTACATCGATAAGATTACTGCATGCACTGGGAGTTGTGAGGGGGCAACTTCCACTTTAAAGTTGGCTATAATTTCTGTTCTTGGGAAACGATGGGTTTCTGCATTATATCAAAGTCATTTGGAATGAGGATTCGCTCAGGAATCTCAGAAAGTAGGATTGATTCACTTCAAGTGGCGACTTTGTTTTAAATATATTTATTTCCCAAGATGCAATGGTTCCCTTGGAGATGAATTACTGTGACAGGTGATCGACTGACTCACCCAGGAGGCCAATCAGCAAAATGACAGTTCTAGCAACGGAGGGGGAAATAAAAAGGAAAATATAAGACTGGTTAAATGTGGACAGTTAAGACCAGGAAGGCGCAGTGGCGTAAGTGAAGGAGAAGTGCAATCTTTTGTAGTTCATGGAGCAGTTTCCTTCGTTTATTTACACGGTCCACGTGCCACACTTTAATTGCACTTTTCCGTGTCAAAAAATACAATAAAAAAAACATTACCTAACAACCCGTTTATTGCTCTAATTTTTGTAGTACTTCATTGTTCGATTTTATTTACAGGGGGTAATTGTAATTTGAATGTAGTATATTGAGTTATTTCGTATTTTGTAAGGGAACCGTCTATAGTTTCCAGCTGGGGCAAGACTATGTTCTAGGTGGGGATGAACCCAGCTTTTCAACCGCTCACTCTGAAGCGTTTTAGTTTACTGTCTTTCTAGAAAC